AAATTGTTCGGCTGCAAAAGGGCAAGAAAATAGTTCTGGGGAAAGGAAAGCCTCCTTGCCGCAATAAGCTTCCTGTTCTGAAAACTGCGCTCAGTGTTTGTGCTTGGTGATACGATAGGAGACAGGGTGAGTTCAGAAGGAGCGATCCATCCACGCAAAGGGATGCAAAATATCGTGTTTGGTGGCCAGAGACACAGGGCAGATCTCTTTAGGTCCGGAGCTCAAGCTGAGAGGTGAAAAAAAATACCTCCCTGCAACTTTTGCATCTCTGCGATTAAAAAGAGAGCGTGACAGAGCAAAGGAAAGAATCTCGGTAATTGATATTAAAAATCAACCTAATTTTTTCTACGCCCAGATGAGCACAGCCATTCGAGAAGTTCACGTCTCCTAAACAACGCGGTGAGATTCAATGAAACAAACAAGACAGAATCACCTTGCCTCGGGTCCTGTTTACCTCTGCCCTTTCTCGTTCCACGTAGTCTGCAGTTCCCTACGCAAAATCACAACCATACCGCTCGGGTTCGGGACACAAATAGCTACTCTGTGTCACAGCATGGGGCTTCCCTCTCGCCGATATGAAAAATCACTTCATACTACGGGGTAAACCAGTATTTGAAAAATCGTATCTAAGTATTGTAGCACTTCCTTCCATTGCGGCGTTAAAGCGAAATTAGGTTTTAGTTGGTGGTGGTGTTTTGGTTTGATTTTAACAGAAAGATACGTGCTTTCCCTAACGGACAAAAGGCAAAAAGAAAAGAACAAACGCCTGTTAAGACCTTCTGAGCTCCAAATACTTTAAATCCAAACAATAACCACGCTTTTCTGAAGCTGCATTCCTGGCCAATTTTGAGAAGAATTATCGCCTTCTGGCATTATTTTCATTGGAAAAGAGAGAAGGGGATGTGGCGAGAGAGCCGTGAATTCCCTCATCCTACATTTTTCTAATAAGACTTTGTAGGCTGTCATCAGTCCGCACGCTTACAAAGCGCTGTCCTAATTCCTAAGCTACTTTCCCGTGGCAGAGTCGGAGCGAGCCCCGCCGTGCCTACGCGGAAGGAGCCTACGAGGCTCAAACCAGCAACCGGGAATATTTCAATTAGCTCTACCCGACAACGAATGCCTTTTAGCACACGTTGCTGCTGTTAATTGCAGGCACCCACCCTACCGGCAAAGGTAAACACTCGGCTTACCATATTTTTAAAGCGAAACAGAGCCGAGGGGAAAAAAAAAAGAAAAAAAAAAAAAAAAGGAAAAGAAAAAAGAAAGAAAGAAAGAAAAAAGAAAGAAAGAAAGAAAGACAACAATTTGGATACTATAGAACTTGACCTTTCGGAGAACAGCGGCAGTAAGTTAAACAGTCCCTTTGCACGCGATGTGTATACATAGAGCCGCGCTATCGAGGCGTCCCGGCTCTGTTTATATTCCTCCAAAGAAGAGCTGTAGCTTTCCCCCGCTTTGTTTAGCTTAGCTAACCGGGTGACCGTGCTCCCAGCCTCTCCGCCTCTTGGCCACGTCCGTCCTTTGCAAAACGTTCTGCAGCAGCAGAGCTGCAAAATTCGCAGCGTTTTGAGTCTCCCTAATCCGGCCGAAATACTCGGGGAGGCGGAACGAATGCATTTTGCTTCTCCAAACGCAAAGCCTCCCTTTGTTGATGTTGTTTTCGTCGGGCTTAGGAAAGGGAAGGCTCGATTTTCCCCCTTCCTCGACACGGAAGTCCCAATTACTGTATTAAAAGAGCAATTCAACGTTAGACCAAATAATCGACATTGATAATTGTGCTGAGCGCAGCAACCTAACAGCAGGCTCCCTGCAATTACCCACACATTCCGGGGCTTTAAGCGAACATTATCTCTGTTTCACTTAACAGCAAATAAAGCAGAGAACAGTCCGTGCCGGGCGTGTTTTCTCGCTCCCTGCCTTCCCCGGAACTCTCCCGATGGCTGGGAGAGGCGTTTTGGGGTCCCCCCGCCTTGAAAACTGGATGAAACCAATATGCTGCTTGAGGGGGTGTCGCGTTTTTATTATTATTCTTATTTTTACTTTTGGGAGCGAGCAGCGGGGAGGAGCAGTCTCAAAGTAGGCATCGGGGCCGCACGTGTGCGCGCTGTGCCCGCGCACACACACGCCCGGTTCGCAGGCGGTGGCCGAGCTCCAGCCTCCCCTCGTACCCCTTCACCCCCCTCCAACGCCTCCCCCTTGCCTCGATTTCCCTTTGTGTGCAGGAGCTGCCCCCCACCTCGGACACGCACAGCCTTGTGCCAGCGCTGCCCCGGCTCTGCCACGGGGTGAATGCGGGGGGGGGGGCGCAGCCGGGCCAAGTAGGTGGCGTCCCGGGGCCGGGCAGCCCTGTCGTGTCTGCTCTGACACAAGCTGAAGTTGACTGCCAAAGTGCTATAAAACCGCAGGTCAGTCTAGAACTGTTTTCGGTTCTCCTAGACGCGCCGCGTTCAATTATAGCCTTAAAAGCCGTAATACAAGTGCAAGAATTTGTTTGCCATCACCCAGAGGCGGGGCGAGGCTCTGCAATGGTGGCGCCTTTGTTATCTCAAAGTCACCGAAATCCCAACGCTGCCTCTCTGTGCGCGGGGAGGGGCGGCAGCGCGGGGGGACGGGGTGGGGGCACGGTCCATGCCGGGTGCCCAAAGAGGGCTCCCACCCCTCGACCCCCCCCTTCCCAGCCGAAGAACCGGGGGAGAAATGAGATGCGTTAAAGAAAAAGCCAACCAGAGCTCTTGCACCCCCCCCCACCCCAAGTTAGAGGAGGGGGGAGAGGGAGAAGGAGAATCCCCAAGCGCTTTTACAATCCCCAAACGACAATGCAGTCTTCTGCTAGCGGTTTTGACGACATGCGATCCCTTTCCATCCACTTTCTAGCAAACACGTCAAGCCTGAAGATTAATTCACTAATTTCAAGTTCAGCTCGCAGACACGCAGCGAGCATAAGAAGTTCTCGCAGCAAACCAAAATAAAGAGTTCATTACGGGGATACGTCCGGAGCGTTTGATTTGTGAACGGTAACCCTTGTAAAATAAGAAAACGGCATATAAACATTAATGCTAATAAATTAGTTTACTCCACTACAAAGTAATTACTGGATAATATTGAATTTACAGCTCGAATTCAAATGCATCAGTTAACTATAACGTAGGGAAAATACATAATGAGAATATTTTTTTTTTCTGCAAGCAACATGATTAGATTTGTTATCAAGTCGGTTACGATAAGCTGAGCAATAAATAAACAAATCGATGTTGATATTTAAATACCGAAGATCTCCAGAATTTACTATAGAACTTTCTCCGGATATATAAATACTTCCACAGCGCTGCAGAGGAAAAGGGGGGTGGGGTGGGGGGAAATCCAAATATTATTTCTCCAGCATTTCGGTCTCCTTTCCATCAGCCTCCCCTGTCCACTGGGGCAGAGACCTCGAGCTCCATCTGATTTCATCAGAGCACCGACACCACAACAGCCTTTTGCCACGCTGTTTTTCTGTTATCATTAAATCCAGCCGGAACCCAAATGTTTCTTTTCTGAAATCGAGCATCAGAACAGCAAAAAAAAAAAAAAAAAAAAAAAAAAAACCCAACAACTTTTATTATTTTTCCCAACAGCCGAGGGATGTCCATGCCTCAAAAGGTGCTGTATTCTTTGGCGTATTTCTCTGTTTTCTTTGGCTGCGCTCGTTCGGTGGGGTGTGCATTTTTTATTGGCAGAGAAGTACTTTTTAGTCTCTGCCCTGTACAATCCGCTTTCTATATCATCCCTTTCATGAAACAATAGTAAAAATTTAACCACGTTTTTAAAATAGGTCTCCCCGGGTCTCAGCCTTCGGCGACGGTACGAGGCAGAAAGGAAAGGATCTCGGGACGGCGAGTTTGTTCCTAGGGGTTAACAGTATGTCAAATAATTTTAACTGGGCTTCTGGCAATTAAAGCCGGAGTATTTGTCGAAGCGGGGCAGCCCTACATCCACCGGTTTTCCGAGCGTTTAGAGGCGGTGCGGAGGAGAAGAGATCAGCAAACACTTTTTAGCCCAGTGCTCTGCAGTTTAAAGGGCTTTTCTGGCGTGGCAAATAGGCAGGCGATGGTTCGGGGAGGCGGGGGTGGCGGTGAGGAAAGCGAACCTGCGTTCTGGGAATCCAATATTGCTAAGTACCTCTGGTGAGGCTTGGCTGGAGCCGCACGGGGTATTTGAGGTTAATATGTAAGGGAGGGAAGGAAGACACTAAGCGCTTCGGAAGTGAACATGAATGCAAGCATGTAATCTATTCACCATGAAAATCAGTGCAGACTTGACCCTGGCACATTCTTGCTAGGAAGGTTTCCAGCAAAACCCTGCAGGGCGAGGGGGCTTTAAATATATATATATATATATATATATTTTTTTTTTTTTTTGGTGAGG